GCACCATTTTTCTTTAATTGGTAGAAGCTGATTCGTTTTGTTCCAAGGCGCGTCAGGGCCTGCAGGGTGAGTATTATGCCCCAAGATTCAGCCCGTTTCATCGTCCCTCATTAGGATGCAGAGGGGAGACCAAGCATCGTCAACTGGGCCAGGGAACAAAGGCCACATGGAAATTGGAGCAGGGCACTGAATCTCTCACTCTCCACTTTTTCAAAACAAGATTCCGACCATTTACTCAAGAACTTATTTTGTCCTTGTGTCCATACAAAGAAACAGGAAACTTCAGAGGAAAAAAGGGCCCCAGTTTCCTACATGGTGGCCCGGGAGCCTGGGGGTCACTGACGGTGCTGGCAGGAGGTACTTGGCCTCAAAACTGTGGAGAGGGTCACTCCCCTTTTTTTGTTGTTTTCAGAGAAGGTCACCTGGGAGCAGGGGAAAGTTTTCCCTCAAAAGAAAGCACCCAAGAAGATGTCTGAGTGTATCTGAGGAGCTTACACCCCCCCAGGCCAGCTGAACTGAACAAGGCCAACCTGAGCTACTATTTGTCCCGTTACCAACCTCTTTACCTGTATCCTCCTTTTTACCTCTTTCCCCTTTACAACTTGGGAACAAGAACTCTCTTCTCAGACCCATGGAATTCCAGTACAATGAAATCCAATTCCAGCTTGACATAAAAGAGACCCACCTTTCTGAAATGCCTGTTCTAATTCTTATGTTAAGGATATCACAAATTATTTTTTTAAGATTTATTTTTGTGTGCATACAGAACTGGGGTAGTACAGGCCAGAGATGCAGGGGCGGTGAGAGACTTCACCAGACACAAAGCAGGAGCAGAACAGGCAGATCGTTGAAGTACACTGCTGAGGGGAGCAGCGGGTGAGACAGGAGAGGTCTGCTGTGCCATGTGGATCACTTCTGGGGTGGGAATCGAACCCACACTGAAGAGGCTGTAGCCAGCTTGCAGTGTTGCGTCTTAACCCATTGTGCCACAAGGGAGGGCCCAGATATCACAAATTCTTAACCAAGGTTGTGCTGGGAAATAGATTAGTGAGGAAAAACAATATTCTCTTTTTATTTTATACTCAATACTGTTTGTTTTTATAAATATACAGCTCTTTAATAATTAAATTGAGAATTGGTTTGCATTCTGCTCCTACTCAGATTCACACACAAAGAAAATAAAGAGAATCCCATATATGACCAGATAGGCAGGATTCTCCATGGAAAAGAATGACAGGAGAGCCTCACCTGGGGATGGGAGTCCTTGAGCAGACTCGATAATGACACCATGACACAAACAGAGCTCATGGATTGCCATCTGGACTCTTACCAAGCCACGTGCTGAGAACCACGAGGGACTGAGCATGAACTGTGTGAGCAGTGAGCAGTGCTGACCTCTGATTTTTAATTTGATGGACATCCGTATCTTGCAGTCTCTGCTTCTAAGCTCTAATTTGCTAAGAGAAATCTTTCCACAGAGACTTTCTGATAGGCCATCAAAGACATGTCTACACACAGTATCCCCTCACTAGGCTTTGCATTACATAAATAAACAAAGCAATTCTCATTAATACGTGCTTTTAAAGCTATGGTTTTAAACAAGAGGCTCATCCAATTCGGGCTTTTCATAGTTTGCAGAATCCCAGGATGCTTGGGTTCCTTGCTCATTTTAAGAGAATTTCCTAAAGATTTTTTATTGATCCAGGGCCCTCCCTGGTGGTGCAACTGGTTAAATCACAGCACTATGAAGCAATCTGTAGCCACTGCAGCACGAGTTGAATCCCAAGCCAGGAAGATGACCCACACGGCACAGGGACCTCTCCTGTCTCGCCCGCTGCTCGGAGCAGTGAATTTCAATCAGTCTGGCTGTTCTGTTCCCCCACTCTGTCTCTGGTGAATCCGCTCACTCCACACCTCTGGCCTGTATCCCAGTTCTTATATGCATACATAAATAAACCTTTTTTAAAAAAAGATTTTTCGCTGATCCAATCTTGAAGGAAACAAAGGTTTTTGCTTCCTTTTTTTCTAGATGATAGACTGCTCTGGCGAAATGACTAAGGTTCGTTCAGAAATTACAAGGTCAACTGCCACTGTGGGTTATTGCAAAGCTCCCCTCAGTGAGTTAGCTGGAGTGAGTGATGAATTTCCTAGAAGGAAAAACAAATCTAAATCTTACAGAAAAAATAAAACCTGTGGCATCCCCACAACGAAGCCATGAATGATGTACCCACTACCCACCACCACCATGCTCCCAGTAACAACAGCGAACAAAGGAAATTGTGGTTTTGAACATTCTGAAAGGAGGCCAAGAATTCTCTTGTGTCTACAGCTGCTGTTGGGAGACTCAGTCATTTGATATGGGTTAGGAATCAGTTCAGAAAGACAGCTTACATTTTTTCATGATGCTTACTTGTTTTGGATTTTGTATTCTGGATAGAGTGACAATGTTGGGAAGTCAAATTTTGGCTCATAAGTGACTCATAAATATTTCAGTCACAACTTTGTACCAACTTTCCCCCACCTCCCAGCTGGATTTGATCCAGCTTCTTGAGGTCATTTTGCCTTACTTGATGCTATTTTACTTCTCCCCATTTTAATCCTTGTGTGTCAAAACACTAATATCACACCATCAGTTCACCTAGCAATGAAGTCTTCCTCTTTTTTGTCTCCCTGTCTGAACCTGAAGGGGAAAGCTCAGGACCTGACATTTTAAGACTCCAGAATCACTCTAGATACAAATACAAATTATCATTCTTAAAAGAATTCTTTAAGTCATCATATACAGATCGGCTGTCACAACCAAGGCAAAGGATGCTTCTGGAAGAACCCAAAAGCCCACTCAAGACATACTAGTACCCATCCATATTCTTTTCAGGGAAACACTGATGAAATTCATTGAAAGATCGATGAACTTTCTAGAATGCTATCAGACCAGGCCCAGTGAGAACAACTCCTAAAACTTGGGCACACCAGTTAGAAGTGATTGAAGCACACACTACTTCTGCCCGGATGCCTTTTCTTTGTGTCTGGGGCCCTCTTGCCTCCCCACCCCCGTGTCCCAGTCTATGTTGTTTCACTTTCAAAGTTCCAGAGCGTCAATCCTTCTGCTCAGGGGCACATGCATCACAAGCCAGCTGTGTCCTCCCTCATGCCCAGGGCAGCACTTAGCCAGTGGCTGGTTGCAGAGGGCTATGAAAGCCCCGCAGCCCTACTGTAAAGCCAGGACATGCTCGGAGATGTATTTACATTTCAGCTCTCACTGCCAGTTAGCACTGCAGCTGGGATTTTGCCTGACGTTAGCCCTTTGCTTGATTTCCTTATCAGTCCAGTTTCTCTTCTCCCATTCCCTGCTTCTTTTGGGAGAATGTCCCCAATGTTTCACTTGCGCACATGGTCACACACCTCAGGACTTGATTCTGAGGATCCACACCTAGACCATTACTCTTTTGTTCCTATCCCCAAACGTCAATTCTCCTTGTTCTTTTGCACATCTGACACCTGTAGCTTGTGACATCTGTTTAAGTATCAAACAAGGTGTTGGTGGTCAGAGCCCCTATTTCTGGGTGAAGTGTCTAAGTTCCTCTCTGCCAAAGTCCCAGGCTAAGGCAATGCACAGAAGGGCTGGACAGTCCTGGTACTGCCGCATGCATGGTCTGACCATCTGCCTCAACAGATTCTAGTTTCTCCCCTTCTCTGGAAAAAAGTTTGAATTTAATATCAGAGGAGAATCATGCCCTGTCTTTGAAGAACATGAACAAGAAACTCCTGCCTGCTTTGGAGTGGGTCATGGGTTGATGTTAGGTTACTTAGGGTGTCTAGTGTTCTTCTATTAACTTCTATCTGCAAGAGAGAAGGCCCTCCGTTAAAGTGCAGCACTGCGAAGCTGTCAGCAGCCACTTCTGCATGGAGTTCCATCCCCAGGCAGGGAGGTGATCCACATGGCGCAGCAGACCTCTCCTGTCTCACCTGCTGCTCCCCTCAGCAGTGCATTCAGTAGATCTGACTATTCTGTTTACCAAACTGTCTCTGGTGAATCCTAACACCTTCCACACCTCTGGCCTTCTATATGCATAAATAAATAAACCTTTAAAAAAAAAAAAAGAAGAACTGGCCAATAGGGGTGATTCAATAGCACAGCCAGGTATGGTTGGGCAGAAAGTGGTGAAGAACTTGGTTACAGGGGAAGGAGGGTTGTCCTGGAGAGTGATAACTGATAACCCAGATTCTGAAAATTCCTTTCCTTCTATGAGTAGCCTGTATCAATGCCTCAACTCCTACCTATTCCAGGCCTACTTAAGAACTACTAGAGAAGCATGGAGTATATCCCACTGGCTCAGATAAGCTCATGTAGAGAAAGTGTGCTTTTCATCTGTATTTCCATAGAACCCAACACAGTGATCCTCATTAAATGCTAGTTGGCTGGTTTGTTACTCCCCTGACTTGGTCCCATATTTGCAGGATGATGATGCAATGTTTCATCCAATTCAGAACATTTTGGGCAGGAAGCAGAGTGTTGTTATAATCAAGCCCAGACAAAATGCATACACTGGGGCTGTCCCTGAGGAGCTGGGGCTCACAATCGCCCTATGTGTTCGCCACCCTCGGTATAGGGTTTCAGACCATGCAACAACATACCAGTCTATAACTGGTATCCCTGAGTTCAGATCCAAAATTCAGATCTCTGGAGGTGGAGGAAGTATAAACTCAGAAGGACACTGAAGGTGGCTTCCTACTATTCACCCCTTTGAGCACTGAGTATTGCTCAAGGCCACTGAGCACAAGCCTCCTCGATAGGTATATGCAACAGGTTAGGGATGAATATGTCAATAGGCAGACCCTGGTGGTTCTAGAAATCCTGATTCAGGAAGTTCTGGCTTCCTGAGATTTATCCCATGGGTATGTCCACATTTGACAGTCCTTCCTAGACACAAAGGAAATTTCTAAGCCCCTTCCCACACCACCCCGCCAGCCTGGATTACCCACTAGAGAGACATACTCACGGTTTTCACAGTGTTGCCCAGTGTAACCTGCCAGACAGGCACATTTGTACACCCCAGTTTGCACTAGGACACAAGTGCCATCATGAAAACACGGGGCTGAGGAACAGGCTGCAAGAGAAAGGCGATTCCCATTAGTGCCAACTGCAGGGAGTTGATTTCTTCAAGTCTGGAGTCCTCCTCAGTCTTTTATTGTCTAGAAAAATATTCTGGCAATTTTTAAAATCCTTTTATTGAATCCGTGCTCCCATTGTTCTGGAAATTTCTGAAGGACCCGGAAGTTTGTGACAGAAATCTCTTGTCTGAAGACTCTAAAGCCAATGCACAAGCCAAAACAGCAGGTGATAAAGGCAGGAGTGTGCCCTTATCCCCCATAAGGACTCTGGGAAGGAAGCAGTCTCGGGGAGTTTAGATCACCTCATTTCAAGGAAGCTTAGTATCTAGGTGCTGGGAAAGGAACTGAAAGAGGACTTCATGACACTGCTTAGAGTGTGCTCAAGAATTTTCAGATACACATACTGTAAATGTTAATCCCTGGAGATGCTGATGGAACCAACTGAAAAAGGATTCTGGGCTCAAATACCACTTCTGATATTAAATGACAATGAACTTGGGCCTCTCTGGTACTCTAGGGATTAAGTGTCACCACTATCACCTCTGGGGCCTGAGTTCAATTCCTGGCCAGGGAGGTGACCCACATGGCACAGCAGACCTCTTTTATCTTTCTTGCCTGCTGCTCCCCTCAGCAGTTTACTTCAGTCAATCTGCCCGTTCTGCTCCCCACTCTGTCTCTGGTGAATCCTTTCACTGTCCACACATCTGACCTATACCCAGTTCTTCTATACCCACACAAAAATTTAAATAAAAATTGTGAATTTTTGACAATGAACCAGATTCTCCTACTGCATACATTCTCAGAATATTTCATGCCCTAAGGTACATTAGATCTTTCTAAGAATGCACATGATGCTCCATCTTTCCCAAGCTTATCTGACCTGCTTTTACAGAGTGCCTCGGGACCATTTTTCCTGCTGAAACATTTTGGAAAGCACTAATGTGCCTGTTATCGCCACTCACTGACACCCCTGGGGAAATGTATTGCTTGACCCATTCAGCAAGCCTGTACTGAGGCTTGTCTCTGGGTAAAGCATAGGAGAGATACAAAGATGATCTTACCAGATCAAAGATATTTGAAGTGCACAGTGACTATAACCTGAAGCACAATACAGACAGTGTCAGAAAATAGGAGAAACTGTTACAAGAGGTTCAAAAAAGGGCAATGTCACAGCCTTCTGGGACAAGAGAGAAGGTTTAGCAGAAAGAGACAAGGAGGAGCCTGATCAGGATCCTGAAGGGCTCCATCCTTCGGGTGTGGGGTGGGCTTCGGAGGGTCAGATGCTTGCAAGCTACTGTTGCTCCCAAGTGGCCTGCTGCAAATGCCCTGGATGTACCTCAAGTGTGACCCTGCTCACCTGCAGTCAGTAGAATATCCCCAGGGGTGGAGGTTTCAGTCTCAGCCAACCACGCAGGACAGCTAAGATCTAAACCTCAAGGTCACTCCAGGCTCCACCAAGCTCCACAGGGGATGTGATTAGAAGGCAGGAACACAGATCCCAAGGAGTGACTGCTGAGCTCACTGAGGAGCAGTCTGAGGTGGGGTAAGTAGGGTGGCAACTCTTGCTGACAGGAGAGGGCTGGAGAAAGCCTGACTCCATGGCCACCCCCTCACCCCTCCTTCCTGAGCGTGTATCATACTCCATACTTCCTTCCATAAGGAAGCCTTCAGGTTCAAAGTGCCACAACAGCACTTTTTAAATTCAGTATTTTTAAACAGCTGGAACTTCAAGCCTGAGCTTATTTTAAGACATGATGCAATCCAATCTCAAAACAGTACGGGTTGGCAAGGTTCCTCAGGATTGGCATCCTGTTCATTTTGGTCAATTCCTAGTTCCTGGTATGAACAGGGCGTTGCAGTCAGGTTTTGGGTTACTCATAAAATACGTGGCTTCTACTGCTGTGGAGTAAGACTTGTAACATCTATTTTCCAGATGACGCTGGCTGGCTCAGGCACAGCTGGGCTAGGGAACTAACAAACGCTTCCTTGGCTCCCAACACCTTGCTGAGCTCTGCATCTGATGTCTCCCTGAATCTCCTTAATGGAGCAGGATCCATTTCCTTCTCCCTGATTAGAAAGTAGAACTTACCAAGGCCCCACAGCCTAACCTGCGGGAGACCCCAAACTAAAGCCCTTAGCCATGACAGGCCACTTTGTGTGAGCTCTGCAATCAAACTGTTCTGGTGCAAATTCCTGGTTCCAACCCCCAGAGCTGTGTGACCTTGGCCAAATCACCGAGCCTCTCTGTGCTGCAGCATCTGGACAAGGGAATAATATTTCTGGTTCATGGTGCATATTTCTGAAATACACCTTGCATTTCTCTCTTCCTTCTCATGCCCACTGCACCTCTGAAAACTTAGGAGACTAGCTTTTAACAGGACTGCATAGGAAGAGGGGGAGGTACACAGAACAGAAATAAATGTGTGCTGGGAGCACAGATACGAAATGCTCCACTTGTCTCCATGACCCTTACCTGTGACCTCCTCAAAAATGGCATGGAAGCCATCAAAATTCTTGGAGCCATCTGAATGGAAGAGGACATGGAGCGAGGAGCCGGTGCTTTGAATGGGAGCCGGCCGCTCGTTGCCACAGAAACGCTTGATGATCTGGCTGTCACTGTTGTCCCCGTCACGGACCTCAACATAGTCATACTGGCACATATAGTCGAACTCCAGGCTCAGCATGACAAACCTGTGGGTGGAGAGGGTGACGGCGGGACACAGATGGGCCCTGGGCTGTCCTGAAACCCCTGGGCAAGTTTAAAGTCAAACAAGTCTTAAGCAGAGTGCTACTGGCTGAGTCTGATAGAAAATAGCCCAAGCCCACCAAATGTCCCGCTTCGCTGAGGTGTGATAGGAAGTCTCGGTAATGGTGTGTGAGTGGGTAGATGGCTCTCAGCAATTTGCTTTGTTGGTGTTATCCTTGGGTCAAAGCAGCCGAGCACCATTGCTCTACAGCGGTGAGTAACAGGCACTTACCTCATTGGTTGTAATTTAACCAAGCTTAATCCCATAGAATGACTGTGAGGCAAAGAAAGGCTTCTACAGCTTCTCTGGTGGCACAAGGGGTTAAGTCTTAGCACTATTGGCCAGGGAGGTGACCCACGTTGGCACAGCAGACCTCTCCTGCCTTGCCCCACTGCTCCCCTCAGCAGTAGATTTCAGTGGATCTGCCTGTTCTGCAGATCTCTGTTTCTGGTGAATCCTCTCATTCACCACCCTTCACACACACACCATACCCCTCTGGCTTGTACCCTAGTTCTTTCTTTCTTTTTTTAAAGATTTGTTTATTTATTCATACAGAACTGGGGTACAAGCCAGAGGTGCAGGGGCAGCGAGAGGCTTCACCAGAGACAGAGTGGGGAGCAGAACAGGCAGATCGACGAAGTACACTGCTGAGGGGAGCAGCGGGCGAGCCAGGAGAGGTCTGCCGTGCCATGTGGTCACCTCTGGGGCAGGCGGGGATCGAACTCATGCTGAAGTAGCTTAAGCTTCTTAGTGCAGTGTTTTAACCCGCTGCGCCACCAGGGAGGGCCGTACCCCAGTTCTTGTATGTATAAACAAATCTTTAAAAAAAACTAATTAAAAAAAATTATCAGTATATATATATGTAAATAATGTAATAGTTTATTTTAGATCATTTTATACATTTTTTCATCACAGTTATAATCCCCGTGGGCTTCCCATCACCAAATCACCTGTGTGCCACCACCACAGTCCAGCGCACTGCCCTTCCCCTCCATTTTTGATCCCATTCCCCACTCCACCCCCATAAAATGTCTCTGGTATATAGCTGTTCATTATTATTATTATTATTTCTCGCCTAGTCCGTTATACTCCTGCTATGAGTGAAGCCATCTGGTATTTTTCCTTTTCTTTCTGGCTTATTTCATTAAGCACGATCTTTTCCAGCTCCATCCATGTTGCCGCAAAAGGCATGTGTTTATTCTTTAAAAAAACTAAATTTGTTTTAAAGGCTTCTATAACCTCTTCTGCCCTTGAGAAAGCGCTGATGGGTAACACTTGGTCACTGGGGCACTCGACCTAGTCCCCTGTCTCCTTAGAATTAGGCCTCAGTTCCTGAGCCCCTCAGCCTCCTTGACCCCAACACCTTACCTGAGCTGGATAATAAAGCCAGGTTTGGTGTGAATGGTCCACTCGCAGTGAGCATTCAGGGGATAACTCTCCAGTAAAATCTGACCCTTCGGGGCCCGCAGAACCTGACCACATCCTGGAAAGAGAAGGAAAATGGAGGAAAAATGGAGTCAGAGGGCGGAAGTTCTCCAAGAGTCTCAGGTGGAAGATGCTTGAGGCCAGACAGAAAATAATTGGCCTTTTTCTGGCACCTGGCAATGCACTAGCAGTGTGGATAGGAAGGTAATCATAAATAAATTTATTTTCATGCGCACACACGTATATAGAGACAGATTCAGAAAAAGAGAAAGGGGTTAAAGCAAAAGCAGAGGCCCAAAGCTCTTCACCGTCGCACACTTTGGTCCCAATACTGCCTCTAAGCGGGTTCTAAGAACTGAAAACCAGTGTACTGAGTGGCTGTTAAATTCCATCGTATTTTCTAGTGCTGATAAGTGCAGGTAGGTGAGACACATCCTAGTTTTACAAAAGAGCTAAGGGGAAATATCTTGAAAAGGTCTCAAGGGGGGAAAATGAGCTGAGTGGTATACAATCACACTCTCCACCAGAATTTCAGGCCGTGACCCATGATCAAGTCAGACCACCACCATTTTCACCAGTAAGAAGCTATTGCAATGGAGCCAAGCCCATTCTTTTATTCACAGTGTATGGCTACCTTGGAGTGTTAACAGCAGAACTGAAGCATTCCCACAAGAGAGGGCAGGGTCCCTGGAAAGGACAATATTTACTTTTCACCCCTTCTCAGAAATGGCTTATCTACCCTTTTCTATAGAGAAATGCAGTCTAACATCATGCTCTCTGGATATGCACTGATATTCACTCCCTGACTCCCCAAAGTAGACACTCCCATTGCTTAGAACATATCAGCTCCATGGTGAGATGATGGTGTTAGGGAAAATAAAAAAAGTCTACTTTTGGTGCAGAGAGGGCTGAGGGTTGTCACATGTCAAAGCTATCACCAGCTTGCCCATTCATCTCTTTCTTCACTGGGATTTCTGGTGCTGCAGCTCTGTCTGCCAACCAGAAGCATGAGCCACTGTTTTCTGCTAGGGGTTCTGGTCTAGGCCCAGCCTCCGTCACCTCTTCTTCAGTGCCATATTCCTCCTTGGCTCCTGTCCATTCATCATGGTGGCCCAGCACCTACTTCTCTATACAGGGGCCAACGTCCCTTCTGAAACAATCAATTAGATTATGGCTGCTCTGTTGATTTGACCTTACTACAGCTGTCCACTGTGCAAACCCAGCCCCGCCCCACTGACTGCCCACCCTGGGTCTCTGCCCAGGCTCACCCAGCTCTAGACACACTCACCCGGCTGTTCCCAAGTCCTGGCCTTGCACATACTGTTCCCTGAACTGAGCAGCCTGTCTTCTGCCTTTGGGAATTATGCTCAACTGTCATATCTTCAATGGCTTGTCCACCCTGCTAAAATGGACCTTCACATTTCTACCATCAGCATCATCTGTTTTATTTTCTTCAGAACACAAATCACTACTTGAAATCATTTAGCTTATTTGCTTACTCCCTTTGGTAGAGCCAGGCATTTTTTAGCTTGTCCGCACAGAAAGGCACCTGGCATATAGTAGGTGCTCAATAAATTGCTGTTGGTTGAATGAATTATCATTATGTGTGAGATATTGGCTAAAAGCTTTACAACCTTCTCTTTTTTAATCCTTTCATCTTTAGAAGGTACCTGGGAGCACAAAATTCAACTCCCCTTTCCCCAGATGTGGCACACTATGGCTGGGAACAGTGAGGTAATGTCTCCATGGTTACCTAGCTCAGAGGCTTCAGGTAAAAAGCAGGGATTAGGATGAAGACTTCAGGGCCCTCCCAATGGCACAATGGGTTAAAATACAGCTCTATCAAGTGATCCCAGCCACTGGAGCATGAGTTCGATCCCCAACCAGGGAGGTGACCCACATGGCACAGCAGACTTCCCCTGTCTTCCCCACTGCTCCCCTTAGCAGTATATTTCAGTCAATCTGCCTGTTCTGCTCCTCACTCTGTCTCTGGTGAATCCTCTCACACACACCCCCACCTCTGTTCTGCACCCAGTTCTTATATGCATAGATAACTAAATCTTTAAAAAAGAAATGAAGACGGCCCTCCCTGGTGGCGCAGCGGGTTAATGCACTGCAAAAGAAGCTTAAGCCACTTCCGCATGAGTTTGATCCCCACCTGCCCAGGAGGAGATCCACATGGCGTGGCAGACCTTTCCTGACCCACCCGCTGCTCCCCTCAGCAGTGTACTTCGTTGATCTGCCTGTTCTACTCCCAACTCTGTCCCTGGTGAATTCTCTCACCCTCTGCATCTCTGGCCTGTATCCCAGTTCTGTATGAATAAATAAATAAATCTTAGAAAAAAAAGAAAAAGAAAGAAATGAAGATTTCAGATCCAAAGGCCCTGGGTGGCAGATTCAGGTTACCCCTCAAGACCATGTGACCTTGGGTAAGTTACTCCCTCTCTTAGAATCTTAGTAAATCTGAAGCAAATGAGAATAAATAAAAGTGACACCTACTTTACATTGTTCGGGGGAGGCCTAAATCAGATTATGCATAGAAAGTCCTTTGCAGAAAAATCAGTGTTAGCTGTTGCTAGTTGGTGGCACAGCAGGGATCTGAACTTGTTTTTACCTAGGACCAACACTTATTCTCGGCAGGTGCATTAACATCCCTCCCAATCCATTTTGAAGCAGCAGGATTTTTCTGACCCTTCCAAAGAAACACATGGGAATTTGCCCCACCCCCTTTCTGAAACGCACGTTTCTGTTTCTTCTTCCTGCACACATCACACTCCTCATCGCCCCCATCTCATCTGCCCATCTGCTGCAGGGCTAGGGAAGTGATCGTAGTCTTGTGAGAGACAAAAAAAGAAATCTTCCTGCACAGCCTCCGCCCCTGGGGGACTGGCAGCTTCCCAGCCTGCAGGTGTTAAATCCCAGCTTCCAGAGCAAACCTCCTGTGGGGACCCCAATCAGAGCAGGCAGCAAATGCTGCCAGCCTGCTTCTAGGTCCCATTCTGCCTCTGCAGCTGGAAGCAAACCACAGTGCCACTGGGCCCCTCCCCATGTTCAGGGGGGCAGAGCCCCCTACCCCCTACCCCTGTCAGGTCTTCTCCTCAAGACCATTCAGGCTCTGGCCAGCTCTGGGACCCCACCCAGCTCAGGAGGGCTCGGTGCCTCCATGCCCACCCAGTGGAATGCTAGACCACTTGGTCCTGGAGATGCAGGGCTGCGGGGGTGGGGGGAGATGAGGGGGGTCCCTCAGCTGGAGCCTGGATTCCAAACACACCCCACCACCATGGCTTGATTCTACAGGGTGCTGCTCCTTTCACTCCCCAGGGAAGGGCAGAGCTTGGCCCCTGGTAGGGACAACTTCCAACCAGCCAGAGACAAAGAGGCCACTTCTCAGAAGCGCCTTGGGGGAGGGGATAACAGGGAGCCCAGCTCCCCCCAGCATCAAGGCCCTCCTTCAGTACCCTCCATTCCCGCCTCTACTCCGGACTTGGGGGACCTGGGTCCAGGGCAGCCCAACTGCACCTCTCTGTCCAGGCCAGAACAGTGAACACAGCTGAGTGTCCCCGCCAAGGAAGTGCTGCTGGCCAACCAAGCAGGTGGTCCTTAGCCTGAGAGACCAGAGGCGGCCAAGGCCCCAGAAACGTGCTCAGATTCCCTGACAGGGTCTTGCTGAGAGTGTGTGTGTAAGGAGGGGGGAGTGCCAGAGAAGCTAGGCTGTCTCTGGGTTCATCCTCTTGCACACTATCCGCCTCCACTGCAATAAGCCAAATGCAGGAGAAATCACTGGGTCGATGCTGCTTCTGTAGAGCTGGAGGGAAATCTTCATTAATCTCCAAACTAGTAAGAGAGCTGGATAGTTCCCAACAAAAATGAACACCCCCAGCAATCAGACAAAAGTCTCGTTATCTCCAGTCTTGGGGGAGGGGACGGGGAGGCAGGAGAGAGACACAACATTCTTCTGAGAAGTGACTGGGTGTTACTTTTTTTTTCCTCTTTCATCCTTCCTCTGAGAGAAAAAAGGACAAAAAGCACGCAGACAGAGAGAGGTGTCTGCATGGTCCTTTCCGCTTTCAAAGATGAATGGGGAGATGGGCCTCCTGGTGGTTTAGGGCACACAGGAAACCAGACTGGGTGAATCGCAGTTCAACCCTGTGCTAGTTATGTGACCCCAGCCAAATCTCCAGGGGTCTCCACTGAGCTTTCCTGAGTTGAAACGGAGGATGACAGCAATACCCACCACAGGCTGTTGATGTGGTTGTTGCTTATTTGTTTTAAGGGTTAAACGAGACAGACATTTTATGCAAGCTGAGTACAATACCTGGTACATAAAATCCTCAACACATGGCAACTAATGTCCATCTCTCCATCCTGCCTGAGCCTGAGATCCTGCTCTACCGTGTCCTGGATTTTGATGTCAATGGCAGAGCAGAGGCCTGAATGGCGAAGCAGGGGATGACCCACAGAAGTGCCAGGAGCTGGGAGGAGACTTAAAATCTCCTGTGCTTGGCTTCACCGCACCTCCTTGAACCCCAGATAATCAGAAAAAGGTCACCAGTGTCCCTCACATCACAGGGCAGTGTGATGCAGGGATAAGAGGGTGAACTGGGGGCCTCGCATGAGCACAGGACAGTGCTTAGGACCCCATGTCTGCTTTATAAAACATGCTAAGTGAGGACTTTTTATCAGGCATTCTGGTCTTTTCAGGAACAATTAGAGCTTAAGAAATGTCTCTGGGGAGACATTTTGTGGGGGTGGAATGGGGAATGGGATCAAAAAACGGGGGCATGGAGGAGGGAAGTGCACGGGACTATGGTGATGGCACACGGGTGATTCGATGATGGGAAACCCATGGGGATTACAATAGAGATGAAAAAAAAATGTACAAAATGATGTAAAAATAAACTGTTATAAAAAAAAGAAAGAAAGAAATGTCTCTGGGGCTCCCCCTGTGATTTGGTCTATGAACCCGCTCAGGTTGACACTTTATAATGATTACTTGTTTGCCTCTCCCATGACACACACAGTTCTGTGAGAGCAGGGCCCTTGTCTGCTCTGTTTACA